TAATAAGTCCGGTCCATTACAGCGTAATATCACGTTTAATACGTGCTAATAAAATTAATAAAAATTGCTAAATGCAAATAAAACTATACATCATGCTTTTAGTTTTCTGATTCCCAATGGTCTCTTGGGTGTTTTAACTGTGGATGCCGTTTTAAGAAGTGACTTAAGGAAGGGTCTCGTGTGTCTTTTGATTGATAAAGGTATAACTATTTCGTAAATAAATAATATCCCAACACCGGAAGGTGCATCATAAGTGCGGCACGTCAGGCCTTTTTATCGTCAATTTGCATTAAGGCAAATTCTCACATCTATGTGAAAACGAAGAAAGAAGCTTAGTGTAACCTTTTCACAAATTTCCCACAAAAAAATGTTATGGTTACTGCAAATGCTCTAAGTATAGAAGAGGTCTATTAAACTTGACATATACGGTGGTAGAATTTTAACAGATTGATGATAATGATTCAAATAATATATTTCTTCATCTTCAATCATATTTGGAGTTCTACATTACATTGTATCTTTAAATACAGATATGAACAATTTGGACATAGCTGCTTCACTGTACTTTGATTTTTAACATTTAATGCATACATTCTCTGCACAATTGAAGTACTACTGCGCAATTTTTTTGCTGTTATCGACACGTGCTAAAGTGACGTAACGAATAACGAACAGTCTTTAGTATTGTTGTGTAGAATCTGCAGAAAGTTATGTTATATTTTTCAAACTGTATTGTTTGATAAAACGTTGACGCTTGACGATCTCTTTCGCTTTAACAAAATAGGTATTCCATTGTGCATTATAATTTGTTAAGCTGTTTGTAGAATAGGATGTTTGCGTTATCTAATGCTGGCTAGCTAAAAGTTCGATACATCATGCATTCGACTCAAAAATGAAAAATTGAAGCAGACATTGCTTTTAAAAGACATACCTAAATGATACAAGAGAAGAATACTACTGTAATACACGTTTTAAAAAGGGAAAACCCTAAAAATTTTAAATGTAGATGTTACTTAAAATAATTTATACATTTCTCACTCGGGTTTATGTGTTATGTCCAATAGCTCATTATTGTGTAATACGTGTGAGTATTTTCAAAATCTGGGCAACTATTCTTTTAATTGTCACCATAAATCAAGAGCGACCTACTTTCGAACGTGTTAATTTGTTTTGTCTGTTCGTTTTTTTCATGTTACATTTCTTATGTTAATACTCCATTCAAAATAGACTTTCGCCTTCGTCGTATATATAGTTAAAATCGGTATAGGTTTAAAATATTTTTTGTTAAATTAAGCAACATCAGTTAATGACTAAAGAAAACAAAATGAATGAGAAAAATAGGGCTTATTTTTTGAGAATTCCAGCCTGAATTGATACTAGCAACTCTCGCAAACATTAATTATTATTGTCTGGGTCAGTGATGTTATTCTTAGGGAGATTTCTGGCTTAAAGATAAAGATCATAGAATAACCCAAGAACGCCTACATCTTTCGCAGTAAAATGTGTCAAGATTTACTGACTAATTACTATTTTAATTTAGTAACTAATTACTATTTTAAGAAACAGTCTGAACTTAGTTAAAACCTACTATATACTTTTTAATATTGGTACGGTGCACACATTTTTCCAAATCTTTTAATTTAATTTCAGTTTTTTAAACGTTAAATATGTGTAACACACTTTGTACGTACCTACGTTAAAAACTGTCGCCTATTTTTATTTTATGTTAATTTGTTTATTCTTTCACGCATTCATTATATCCTATTAAAAGTCCACGGCTGAACATATAGCATTATAGATTACTTATGTTAGTGGATATTTGCCATAATTGCCACACGTGGAATTCGAATTAGAAACCGCAGTTTAAAAAATATTTTAAGTTTTATCAGTAATAAAAAATGCTGATAACCCATTTTCTGTTTCATTTCCCTCTGTCGCCCCTTACGAAACCTGGCGAACGGCGTAGTTGCCAACTATAAAAAATGATCGAAATATAACTATCGAAAAATCGCAGTAATCGAAATAGAACCGACAACTGATCGGGAAGAAAAGTTGTTGAGTGGCAGCCTCGTGCCGGTGACCGAAGAGTAGGGGCCGCCTCTACATTAGATGAACTGACGATCTGGTTGCAGGAATTCGATAAAAGCAAGAAGCTCGGGGATCGTGTCGATTTTTAAAAGGAAAATATATACCTATTACCTATATACGAGTAGGTATGAAATAAAATTAGATAAGTAATTTAATTTCACAAAGTTTTCTTGATTTTCAGCAGATTTTTTATTATTACCTACCTTAAATTTTTAGCAGACTATTCTTTTATTATTAACAATTCTGTGTTTATAACTCGTAAATACAAAACATTTGTTTGTCAAAACAAACACTTACACACACAGAACACTTTCCCTGAAAAAAAAATTTGAAGAACGATTTGCATAAATCATTATTTCCCAATGCTGTAATTTAAGTATTTTACATTAAAAATTAAAACAAGTGCGAGTCGGACTCGCCCATGAAGGGTTACCATAGCAGCAAGTAACATGATATAAAAGTTCTTGTAGTTCATTATAACTTTGATCGATGTTTTAATAATAGTGATTTTTTTATTTTTATATTTGAGTTGATTGAATGAAAGGTAAATTGCGGTTTACGATTTATGACGTATTAAAAAAAAACTACTTACTAGATCTCGTTGAAACCAATCTTCGGTGGAAGTTTACATGGTAATGTACATCATATATTTTTTTTAGTTTTATCATTCTCTTATTTTGGTTACAGGGGGGGGGGGGGGGGGGCCACATATTTTACCGTTGTGAAGTGTCTCTCGCGCAAACTATTCAGTTTAGAAAAATATATATAGATATATATATTAGAAACCTCAATATCATTTTTGAAGACCTATCCATGGATACCCCACACGTGTATGGTTTTGATGAAAAATAAAAAATAAATTGAGTTTCAGTTCTAAGTACGGGGATCCCCCAGAATTTATTGTTTCTTCTATTTTTGTGTGAAAATCTTAATGCGGTTCACAGAATACATCTACATACCAAGTTTCAACAGCATAGTTCTTATAGTTTCGGAAAAAAGTGGCTGTGCCCACGGACGGACAGACAGACAGACATGACGAATCAATAAGGGTTCCGTTTTTTGCCATTTGGCTACGGAACCCTAAAACTATTTCTCGTTAATTTCCACGTTGGCTGAACTAATTTCAATGTGGTTTTCAGTGATGTATTGACATAAGTTAGAGCTAACATTTAAATAGGTTAAAAAGCATAAAAGAAACTCGTGCGCGCTCGGCGTGACGCGTGCACATTTTGAAAAAAAAAACGTGCGTTGACCAATCGATTGGATATACGTGAAAATAGTTTATTATTATTTTAATCTTATTATTTCTTTGTAAGATTTTATTACACAAGTAAAACAGTTTAAAAAAAAACATTTTCATAAGCTTATTTTTTAGGGTTTCGTACCCAACGGGACCCTATTACCCGAAGATATTATCTAACATTGACGTAAAAATCAGCTGAGAGAATCAATTTGAGGTGCGTAATGTTTTTACGTACATTGATTACCTGATACCTGGAAAATGGCCCACTGGCCAAGCTAGCAGGTATGCATGCGATCATAGTACATACTAACACTACTCGTATCCTTCGTACGGAACCCTTCATGCGCGAGTCCGACTCGCACTTCGCCGGTTATTCACTCTTTTATGTGGACTAAGGAATATCACAATCTCAATATCGTTTAAACATTTACATTAAAAACTTCACCTCTATTTTTCAACCTTTAGGGGTGGAACGTTTTCTTTTAAATTAACTGGAGCAACGCTTGAGGTGGCCTGTTTAATTTAAAAAAAAAGAATCATCGGTTCTTAGTTGGCGAAGATATCACGTCACGTCACGTACAAAAAGTGCGTTTGAATAGAGATCGTCCTCTTTAAAAAAAATGGTATTATTTTTACGTAATTTTTTTTTGTATAGAATAAAGGTGACAAACGAGCACACAGTCCACCTGATGGTAAGTGGTTGCTGTGGCCTATAGGCATCTACATCTATCTTCGTTTGCGAATTAAACGCAAATTCATTGTCAGCCCTGAGGACTAAAATAGAATGCCTCTTTTCCTGTAAAAAGGCTCTCCGGTTCTCTGCACTCACTATACGAAACACAGCAGCATTAGGCTGCTATTTTACGCTGGTATTCTGTGAGAGCGTGGTCCTTTCCCGGTCGAGACGACCCATTCGTGCTACAACTATACTATTTATATAGCTGCAGCATGGCTCTACCACGTTAATTAAATTGTTTATCATGCTAATCAAAAGATACACTTAGAATCAAAATAAGGTATCTGTTGGTAATAAAATCATACAACATTATAGTTACAGCCTATCAATAGTACACTGCTGAACACAGGCCTCCCTCAAAGATTGATTCATAGGGGAGGTATTAGGTACAATTAGATTTTTATAATTTTTTATCAAAAATGTAATCTCTATAATATAAAAATGAATCGCTGAATGTATTGCTAAGCGCAAATCTCGAGAGCAGCTGAACCGATTTCGCTTATTCTTTTTTTATAATATTCCTTGAAGTACGAAGATGGTTCTTACGGAGAGAAAAATTTAAAAACTTGCCTGAAAAAGTCTAAAAACAACACTTTTCTATATTCCCATACAAAAGGTTCGTAATAATACTTAAAAGTCAATTTGAACTTTAATACCATATAGTTTAAGTCATAGTGGAGGGGTTTCGGGAAGGCAAAACAATTGAGTGACGTTAGTATCGTATAAATATTAATGTCAATATTTATAAGATGGTAACATTACTCAAAAACAAAATTAGGGTTCTGCGCAAAAAATTGATATCCATGAAATCGTAGTAAATTCCACGCGGGCGAAGTCGCGGGGCACAGCTAGTTTAAAATAAATATAATATTTATTAAATGCATGTTTATTGGGTAAAACAGCTTTATTTATGTATGTATTTTTGCTTTTCAGCTTTGGTGGGAGCACTGACGATGGGCACGACTTTCTTCCTGTCGCCGTTGTCCGGTGTATTGACCGGATTTCTAGGATTGCGCTTGACTGCAGTTCTTGGTGGGAGTATTGCAACAACCAGCTTGCTTCTGTCATCCTTCGTTGTGGACCACGTAGATGCTCTGTGTTTCACTTACGGAGTTATGTACGGCTTAGGCGCATCGCTCGCTTATACTCCATCACTGGCTATTCTCGGCCATTACTTTAAAAAGTACCTAGGCCTCGTCAACGGAATAGTCACAATAGGCAGTTCAGTGTTTACAGTAATCATGCCCCCTTTAATGGAGTTTATGATAACGAATTATGGATTGCATTGGATGTTTAGACTTCTAGCTGTTTTCACCGTAGGTATAGCGCTTTGCGGGTTGTTATTCAAACCCACTCCTCTAATGATAATACAGAAACCATTGCGCAAAGATAATAGTTTTAAGTCGCTTTTAAAAACCATCATTGACGTACAAATATGGAAAAATAAAAAATACAGACTGTGGGCCCTTTCGATGCCAGTAGCTTTGTTCGGCTATTTTGTGCCCTATGTTCATATAAAGAAATTTATAGTAGAGAATTTTTCTAATGTCAATGACAACCTCCCATTGCAGTGTATAGCAGTGACTTCTGGTATAGGAAGATTGACGTTCGGCTATTTGGCTGATAAACCTGGCATTGACAGTATCTTGTTACAGCAGATCTCTTTTTATGTGATTGGGACACTCACCATTATTTTACCATTCGTAAGGTCTTTTAGTCTCCTAGTTGCTATGTCACTAGGTATGGGGATATTTGACGGTGCGTTCATTGCACTTATTGGACCAATAGCCTTTGAACTATGTGGAGGCACCCATGCAGCACAAGCAATAGGTTGTATGCTAGGATTGGCTGCACCTCCTCTATCTCTTGGTCCGCCTATTGCTGGCTACTTCTATAGTATCTATAAGTCCTACACGCTGCCATTTGTTCTCGCTGGCATTTCCCCACTCGTTGGAGCTACCGTTATGTTTACCATACATTTCCATCGCAGGAGTTCCAAGCAAACTGAGGTTAATAAAAATGGTCATACATACTTATCACCTATGGATTCTGGTAAGTTCAGATGATTGTTTTTCTTGATATAAATATGTTATTTTTGTTTAACGACTTTACATACGCAAATGACCACAAATTGCGGTCTCAGTCATTTTAACATGGATATTTTAATATTGCTTATATTTGCGAATAAATATAATTTAAATTGGAATTGGATTAATCATAAATAGGAAAGTTACTGATATCCTAAGATGCAGGATTAATCTTAGTTTAGGAATCAGTGCGACAATTATTATCATTACATTACAATTATTATATATACAAATATCCACGAATTTTTCTGCTACCAGGGCGGCGCCACCTAAATGTGAGGTATAATATTTGACAGATTTCATAGCGGGGAAGTTAATTTGTTCGTAAAATGTAAAGGTTATTGTTTCTTTATGTACTATTAGCTATATTTTATATTAATAACATTAAAAACAAATAAATCAAACCACAGATAAGTATTCATAAAAGTAGAAAAAAGTTAAAAATGTGCAAAAAATTAAAGAACTAACCACTGAGGCATTGTTTTGTGTATTAATATAATAATCTATAAACTGATAAACTTTTATTAAAAACTAACTTTATCTATTAAATGACATGGCGTAACAAAAAACTTTACCTCAGTGTCAACTAGCGACATCTGGTCAGCAGAAAATTATTAGCCCTTTTTCGTGTGTAATCGTAATAAGTTTTAATAAGATTGTTATAATGTAAGACGTGTTTATATAGTATTACCAGATGGTATAGTTATTCAGCCTAATCAGATGGTTAGGCTGAATAAATATATAAAAGAAAATGATAAATATAGTAAAATAATTAAATGTATAAATAAATAAAAACCCAACCGAGATGGTAGCCCTCGGCACTGGATACCAAACTGCCGAGGGTTAGGGGCAAAGGAAAAGAAACCGGCAGACGATATGGGCGGTATCGAGGAGATTCGCCTTCTGAATTTGAGCCCGGAGCGGTCCGTCACGGAGTTCCAGACCCTATAGGCTGACTGGGATTAGCCCGTACGCAGAGACGACTACAGGAATAATTTCGGTCGAGAGACCACTCCACATGTGAGCTTATAAGGTACACGTACTTATAATAAGGCAGTTATCTATCCACGAGACCGTATTTCAGGGCGAGTTCCTGGCTACTAGGTTGTGTCTGTGCAAGTATTCAGAGTTAAAAAGCGCCGAACAACCGGAGATAACATGCCTAAGTGATTCACCGTAATGGCGATAAGCTCGACAGATTTCGAGATATTATTATATACTTTTTGGTCCGTAAAACATGAGTGCACGCACTGCTGTTTGATAGAAGAAATGAGTAAGAAGGTGCTACCTACTTAGACGGTCTCCAATACTGAAGAGAGTTCAACCACTACCAAACTTTATGGCGTTCTTTTTATTAGTCAAGTTTTATGCAACTCCGCTCCACGCGAACTGGAATTAATGATGTGCTATAAAATAAACCCGTAGTATTCTGCTTAATTCGGCTTTAAGATTTTAAGTTAGAAAAGATTTTATATATGCAGATATATTTTATATTATAATGTTGAAGTTGGTATATAAATTTTGTTTTTATTTCAGAAAAGAGCGCTGTATCTTTCTCGAGGTCTAATGGAAACGTCAATGAACAATCTGCCTTATAACATTTGTGGGTTTACAAGACGAAAGTCCAGACAAATTTAAATATATCTTGGCGTAACTCGTAAAATCAATCCGATGTAATATTTTCTACTGTCTACGAAACCTTTACTGCCCCACAAGTAGTGTTGCAAGTGCCCGGCGGCCAGATGTGCGATTGAAGACGATGTTTTAAAATATACAACAACCCTATTGGGTTTGTGATCGTATATCTTCCGCTTTCGATTGACTAAGTATTTGCTTAATTTAATATTATGTGTTAGAAAAAATGATATTAGACTTGTGACTGATAAGTTTTACGAAGGAGGGCCTACCATTTTTATATATTTAAAAACAACACTAATCTGTTGTTTCGTCACTAATATTGACACCACTGCCAGACCAGCAATGCGATAATGTAACTCTGGGAATCATTGTTGGTTGAATCACTCTGCAAATGCATTGTTTTTTTGTTGTGATTACACTGTGTAACATAAACTAAGATATTAATTAGGAAGAATTAATTAGGAGCGAAGTGAGTACAAGGGTGAAAAAATGAAAATGAAAAAAATGAAAAATACTTTATTTGACAGTTAGCACCTTTACAAATAATTTAACAGTGGTTCTCACACTATGCTCGCAGACCTGTATCGTGAGAGCCATAAGGGTAGTGTAGTTATTCCGGTTTGGAACGTAAGAGTGTAGTGTATTGTAATTATAGGCTATGCATTCCATCTTAGTCCTCAGAGGTGACAACGCAACTGTAGTCTTTCTCGATTGAAGTTGGTTGCAGGTGTGCATGTGCTGCCATATACAATTTCTATAAGGTGGACATAACTCCATAAGTCCACTTCATGGAAAGTGTACATTTGTTGTTTCAGTTTTTTATATATAATTAAAAAGAATCTGTACAATAGAATTAAAGATCAATTTCATCAAAATTAATCTCAAGGTATAATAATAAAAAAAGACAATGATGACGACTCTTTTATGTTACGCCGTACTTTATACATATTACTTCAGCTGTTCGTGCAATAATATGTAATAATAATAAAATAATAATAATAACAAATGTCGCAGTAAAATTGGAATTTGTTTCTAGATATTTCGAGAAAAATTATGCTATATTTACATTTATATACTAATATACTTATGTGTAGGTTTTCAGATTGTTTTTGGTTTCTTTACAAGTGTAGCGATGTATTTTTTGTGTTTTTATTTTATTTTATTTTATGACTAAAACATCATGCGAGACGTTTGGCTCTGCAACGTCTATCCACCTGCCAAAGATCAGCACTCAAAAAAAAAATCCCTATACAGATTTCAAAGTAATTAAAAAATCTCACAAATCAAAGAAGAATACAAAATAAAAAATTTCGTCCCTAATTGTGTTGAAAGTGTAACTCAAAAAATATAAATATAACTATTTCTCTACTTTTAAAAAACTTTTTAAAAATTGTCTTGTGTGTTTTTTTTCAATATGGTTTATGATATTGTATTACCAGTTTCGCGAGTTCCTATAGCCATGTTTTAACTGGTATAAAAAAAAGACATTGACATATTATTGATAACATTAACACAATACAACGAAACCACACGCCAAGCCAATATAGATAAGCTAAGCGATAGCTAAGCCAACCACGATTCCCATCAGGGTTACACAATCACAAGCTGATATGTTTTTAAAATAATAATGATTGTTATTTACTTAATACCAAATGTTAGTTATACATGAGGCTTTTAAGATTTATAATGTAAATGTATGTAATTTATACAAACTGCCTTTATTTTTATGCATTTCTTATCTATATACTTTTTTTTATAATGTTAAACCTGTTATATTAAGTATGTAGTTACCCTCGCATGTTCCTAATATTGTTTTACTGATGTTATATTGTATAATACTTACAATTGATTAAAATTATTTGTTTAACAATAATAATATATAAAATCTCTGTAAAAAAAAAAACATTTTCCAAACACGTGTAAACACATTCGAATCTCAAATTATTCAAATAAATAGTACTCTGTAGTACATACAGAGTCTGTACGATTGTTAAAAGAAACTGGTACCGGTAAAAGAAGAGTACGGCGGCTGAGAAGGGCTGTAATGATAACGATGATGATGATGAGGATTGTTATAAATATATTTTAATATAATTTTAAATAATTTTAATTTCAATTAAAAAAAATATTGTTTTTTTAACAATTATAATCGCAATTGAACCTTGCAGTTCGTGCTCCTCACGTTTTCTGATACCATCCGTTAAACCAATTTTATCTTTCTAAACATGAATAACTTTCTTAATAGTTCTTAGTAGTTAATAACATTCATAAACATTCATTAATAAACTAAAACAATCGTACAGAAAATGATTATTCATTTTAATTGTTTATTACTTTAAACTGTTTAATACATATTTTAAAAATTAAATAGTCGGTAGTTTTTGTGTGTGTGTGTGTGTGCCTCATATGGGTGCGTGTGTGCATGTGAGTATGTATCTGTCTGAAGGTCAATTAGTTATACATATTTGAAAATTGCGAATAATGGCGTTTGTGCATTCGCACGTATTCAGTTCCTTTTATGAAATGTGTTGATTATAAATAAATTACTTGTTAAGAGCTCTTTTTCACTCGCTGTTATTCATTATAAATTCGTATTTGTGATAATACTTTTTTAATTATAGTGCCTATACGGAGATTAATATAATAATGAACGGCCATGATGAGTGTGTGGTTCTTCATTTTTTATTCGTTTTCGTCTTTTTTTATCCATAGGTAAATATCGTATTTAAAAATGCTATTACAGTCTACAAATGTAGGGATATATATATAGAGTTTCGGATCAGTGCACAAACCGTGTGTCGTGAATTTCTGATTCGTTATTACCTGTAAAATACACGAATACGATGTAAACAAGTGAATGCATTATTTTTTTACGAAAATAACATCAATGGTTTTCCTTACTCCAAATTTATTATGAAAATATATATTTAGAAAAGAGGTGATTATTTTTGACGAAAGCTTGATCGAAAAATATCCGTTTGGTGAAAAATATCTGTGATAGACATAAATCAAAACAAATACTTTAATACAATGACATTATACATATAGTTTATTTCTATATTTATTTTTCACTAATCCTTTTTGACTACAATTGTTAAGTAATAGGAATTGTATTTATTATGCAAATAAGAAGGCAATCATTTTGTATTTTGCATTTTTTAGCTTTAATCCAACCTTTTTTATTTGGATATTGATTATGATTAATATGTTTCCACCATAAATACTGTTTATTGTTGTTATCAATAAGCTAAGTGTTAAATTTCTAATAAGGAACTGTTTACTGAATGAATGTTATAAAATTACTAAGTCGTCGTACGAGGCAATACTTGAATTTTACTCAGCATTGCATCGTATATTATTTGAGTTAATTTAAGCATATTTTTACATTATGTGTCAAACCTAATTATTTTTTTACTTTAATGAGTAAATAATTATTTAATACATTATGTACAGAATGCATACATTTGAATTTATTTATGTAAACAAAATGGAATAATATTTTATAACTACTTATTTATAAAATTAAGAGAATATAATTCTTGCAATTTATCAAAGTACAGAGTACTACGAGTATATATTTATATAATTGATATTGATAATAACATTCAATAAGTAATATTTTTTCTACAAAAAAGTCCTAATTTTATTTTTGCCGCAACTGGACTTAGTTAGATTTCTATTAAAATGTTTTATGTTTATTTACTTTGGTAAATACATTTTTATTAAATATTACACTGCCTAATTTTATTTTTTTATTCTAAAAAAATCTGAAATATTTTTAATATATAATCGGTTATTTCCAGTGCACATAAAAATCCAAAAATAATTTTTGATCATCAACATTGAAAAATCATATTTCCTTTGAATACAATCATCGAAGAGATAACATCAAAATTGAGAAAAACAAAAATAGAGCATCTTTGTTTAAAAAAATGTCTACCGAAGACATACACGGCGACTTGGTATAAACTTTGGGGGACTGTGTTCGGTCACGTCGGTCAGTCTCAACGGAGACTATCCATATGCGCAGGACAGGATTTTAGTGCACGAGGATGTGTGCAAATACATGTACACTCTACTCTCTCAGTCATAGTCCGAAGGGATAAATAAGGCGCCGGACCAATAGGCCAACGAGATAGTCACTTCTCAAATATTTTAACTATACATAGGACAAAACGACTACGAATGCCATCTAGCGGCAAATAGCCGAAGACTTGTTTCATTGTGTTTGCCTTGTAGTGGCGCATAGATTACTGTATATAGTGGCGGCATAAGCGAATCCACTACCCCATATCATCCCGTAGGTGTTGTAACAGGCAACAGAAGAAAACTGAAACTGACGCAGCGTTTTTTTCTGATTACAACCTAATAGTAATAAAAAAAAACTCCATCTGACAAGCTCGTGTGAATAGCAGCGGACTTTTTTTGGCACTTAGAACTTTAAGACCGTGATATCCGTTATGTGCATAGTAGAAACCTTAAAATCCAAGTGATAGTGATAATTTTATTTTAACACAATTTATGTTAAAAAGATCATATTATTGTACTGTACATAACAATATTTTACACAAGTCTGAATTTTGTCACAAGAACTTATTACGTAAATATACTACTAAGTTATTCCAAAGCTTTTTAAATCCAATAGGCTGTGCTGGTATTCTTTCTACAGAACGGCTGTAAGTCGATGGATTTCGAGCTGCACTGCCAAAAGAATATATCCTCATTGCTACTTCCTCTTGAGAGGGTGAATGTGTCTTCTGAGTAGCCCAACGTAGGGGTTTGGATAACCTGTTTAGCAAAAAAGTTTAATTTGTAACAAGGAATTTTCTTCTCCTTTATCAGCCCATATAGTAATGTTGGATGTGAGTCCCGTTGGAGAGATGAATAAGCCATAGTCGCCACGCTGGGCAAACCGATCTGCCGGTGGTCAAGCTTGCTGCCTCTCTAGGTATTTTAAGTTTTGTTTAAACATCAGTTGACACTACTTATATTTTGAATTTATATTTTGGATAAGCATTTGTTTCCAGTCTTGCTTACCTAATCATAGGTATAATACAAGTAGGTATTTCCGTCACCACTTAGGCAGCGTATCTTCACACAGTCTAAACCAAACTACTTTGGGTAAGAGACCCCTTGTCCAAAATGATCTGATATCTTAGTTCCCCGTAGCGAAATTACTTTAAAAATCCTATCTCTAGTTTTTTTCCTATTGATACAAAATACTCTTACCAATTTAAAAACTTTGCGGTTAGTTAAGTGAGTAAACTTGACATCATTTTCTCATCAAAATTTAACAAAATAAATAGACTTCAAATTCCTAAATATAGTGTAGTGTAGTAAAGTGTAAGTAATTAATAATTATTTATACAAATTTTGAAACCGCAAAGTACCTAAACATTAAAAAAATCATTGTGATTGATGATCATTTATGTCGTTTATGTCGACCCCAGGGATATCGAAACCGGTCTAAACCTTGCTGTACCTATATATGTATCTATATATACCACTATAAACCACTGTGAAAAAATAAGTAAAAGAATCTAAAAAGGGGGTTACAAATAACGCTAATTTATAAAAACAGAGATTTTTTTTATAGAATAAGGGTGACAAAAGAGCACATAGTCTACTTGATGGTAACTGGATGCTATGGCCCATAGACATCTACATCTATCATCGATTAAAAATCAAAATGCAGATATGTTGCCACTTGCCACCCCTGAGGATTAAGATGGATATAAATACAGCAGCATTATTATGTAAGAGAGCCTGAGAGCGTAGTCCTATGCCGGTCCAGCCGACCCATTCGTCTGCAGCTATGTAGTTGTATAGCTATCATAGCAGCGGACAGGGAACGATAATTATTTTATGATTTTTGACTCAGAGTATAGTGCTAAAAATATAGAAACAAAACGTACTTTGAATCTTTACCAACAATTTGTAAAAAAATCACATATTTAATATACATATTTTTTGGTGGTAAAAAGTAAATTTTTTATTTAAAAAAAAAAGGGCAGGTCAAGAGTACCCTAAACCGATGAGCATGTATGAAGGGAATAATGAAAGTGGACGAAGCGAAACAAGTATGTAAGGATCGTAGCAAGTGCAAAGAAGTGGTCTCTGCCTAACCTTACGGGAAAGAGGCGTGATTATATGTATGTATGTATGTAAAAAGTAAATCTGCAGTATTTCTGACAGTGCCACGGAGAGTTAACCACGTGAGAAGCAGATGCTCGTGAGAACCAAGGCCTAAGCTTTTTATAGCACATTCTTTATGAAGATGTCCTTTGATACAACATGTGTAGGTAGGTATATTTTCGTTTTTTTTTACATAAACAAAATTGCACATCTGAATCTTTTTTATAGTTTATGAATGTAAAATGGCTCAATGATGTAATAATTCTTAAAGTGGGAGTATAACTAAAAATAATTGTAAAATAAACAAAACAATTTTGTTTAAGTAGGTACTTACTCGGAGAAATAGTCCATATCTTCCATAACATCGGGTAGTTCTCGTGCGTCTACATCAGGAATGATGTAACATAACGCTGTTAGTACGAACGTAAATCCCACTTGTATTAAGACAAGCGCTATATGATCTGTGGCGTCAAGAAAGAATATCAGGTAGCATATTAGAGCGCCAAATTGTCCGGTAGAGTGGCAGCAACCAAATATTGTGGCTCGTATATTAATCGCAAAAAGGCGTGGTGTAATATTAAGAAGTATCGTATGTCCTATCAATCCAGTGCCCAGTGCTGCTGATTGTACAAATCCAAAATTTATGCCCTGAAAATGCATTTTCATTCAATCAGTCTTTCTTTTTTCTTCTTTATCAGCCCGTAGCTACTGAGGAACATATATTTCCTATAATAACAACTTTCCTGTCCGCGAAAAAGGTAAAATAGTGTTCATATATGACAGTGAACATAATAGTGACAGTTACCTATTAATTTTGGTTGGCTTTTTATAAACTAGCCTAGCATGAGTAGTCAAATCTTCCAGGGTAAACCAGCTGGGACATTTAAAAAGCAGCAGTGGACTTTTTAAAAAAAAATAGGATGACAAACGAGCACACAGTGCACCTGATGGTAAGTGGTTGCTGTGGCCCATAGACATCCACATCTATCTTCGTTTGCGAATTAAAATGCAGATGCGTTGTCAGCCGTGAGGACTAAGATAGAATGCCTCTAGAAGCAAAACATGAACTCTCCTACCTGTCACCCAGAGGGGTAAGTGGCACGATTTTGACACATGTGTCTAGTATTTTTCACATCCTATTTAGTACTTATTATTTTTAATATCGCCAATTTGGTCGATAAACTTCCGTCCAGGTCGTCCCTTGCAGTTTCTACCACTCACTTAAACAGTTGTGTATCGCCAGCAACGCAAAATCAGGAATTTGCATTTAGAAAAACCCAAAATTAGGGGCTTTTTAGGTGCTCATTAGGTGCCAAGTTTAAAAATTAGGTGCTCTAAAATTTTCATAGCAACGAACTGTTGAAATTTGCGTTGCTAACTAGCAATGCAATGAAGTTATCAGATATACGATAAATATTAATAGCAAGGAATTAAGTGCTAGTTAGTTGCTGCAAGTATACGCAATAACAAGGCGCTCCTAATAAAAATAAGGTCGTTATTCAGAACATAGCAGATGCAAAATTCAGGTTTTCTGAAAATCAAAATAGGATCGAAATTGATTTTAGAAAAAGCCCAAATTAGGGGTTTATAGGTGCTAATTAGGTACCAAGTTTAAAAATTAGTTGCTCTAAAATTTTCACCGTTCCTTAGTTAGGCACAGGCCTCACAGGCCTTAGTTTACCCGCGTATAATGATATTTTAAGGCGCTTATCCGTATCTCGTAATGTCTGTGTGTGTGATTTGTTATTTTCTAATTTATACTTAATAGAGTTATTATTTTTTAATGACGCAGGTTTTTGTAGCTTGTGCTCAATGAAAAAAATACTTACCATTATTTGTATTCGTTTCATAATAAACATACCGGTTGTTAGAGAGCCCATGATTGATACGGTAAATAAAAGAAGATGTCTTAATTTCAACTTCTTTAAAAGCACTAGAGATATGCATCCAAAAGCAGCAAAAAATCCTAAAACTTCGCTCAGCAACAATTCTTTTGAGTCACTATACGTTGTCACATAAATAAAAGTCCATAGAAAGTAATATAGAGCCCAGAATATTAAAGCGCATATGACAACGAGTCTCGTATTATGCGTGTAGCAAACACTTAAACATGTTCTATCTTCATCTAAGCAGTTGTAGGCCTGAAAATATTTCAATTGCTTTAATATGTCTTTGGATTTCATACACATTTTACATAAATTTTACATTTAAACATACAAAGCCAAGAAAATAATTGATTAAATATTATTGGTAAGGTTTACTACACGTTAAGGACGCGATTTTTTTTTGTGTAGTTTTGTGTACTTAGGTCATGTTTGTCTCGAAGTCTAAATTCTTAACTCATCGAATAACCGTTAAATAGAACACTGCATTGTATTAGTGATAGTTAAATCTTTCATAAGAACAATATCTTTACTATTACAATAAGTCATGAATCAACCATGAAAAGAAGACAACGTAAAAATTATATTCATAATGTCTGCAAATCGAAGATAGATATGTAATTATATCTTTCAGAACGATATTATGAGTAATTCTCTAATTCTTAGTAATAAGGCGATATTTATTCTTCATTGTCAAATGTGTGCTCAAGGACCGTCAGCTCATTACAGTTTTTACGTAAATTGTAGGTATTCATTTAGGTAATTAAAATTTTAAAATACACAACTGTCCATTATATGGCCTAGTCTTTATAGGAATTGAGAAATAGCTGAATTTGTTTTCTATATTGTTATGTACTTACATTGTATCTGTGGCATACCATTACAGCCTATAATGTCCACTGCTGAACATAGGCCTCCTTCATAGATTACCTCATAGGAGGGATTTTGCCATAGTTGCTACGGTTGACAAGCGTATAGGCAACTTTTTTTTTTTGAGTTGTCATCAGGAAGATGTTGCTGCCTTTTTTCGGTTTCAGCTTCTCTCTGTTGCCTTTTACGACACCCACGGGTCGATATGGGATAGTAGATATTCTTACAACGCCATTAAACGGCGACTAACATTTGTAAACGTTGGTAAAAATATTACAGATACTGACAACTTACTTTATAATTAACTGGCCGTATTTTAAAATCGCTACATAATGTTATTCCATTTTTTAACGCCGCTTTGTACAGAACGATTTCAGCTAAGGCAATTTTTTGATTGTACAGCAACCACTGAGGTGATTCTGGAAGCCACCTAAAATTTTGCACTCATTTAATTGTTTCTAGGTTTTGTTTTAATCAAATTGGAGTGACAAGCGAACTAACAGTCCACTATATGGTAAGTCGCTACTGCAGGCCGTGGAAACCTGCAACAAACTTTAAACAAAGTATTGTACATATTATGTTACGTCGCTACTGATGACTAAGATGGAATGCCTTCCAGCCTGTAATTGAATTGGCTCTGTTACCAACTCGAAGTTTGTCTCGGAGGTAGATACTGCTTACTTCGAAAGGTTAGTAGATCTACCATCTATATTTTTTAAGTTTTCTAGAGACCCCCCAATAATAATGTGATACTCATAATTAACGTTCCTATTGGGTAACAAATATTTCACCTCTTTTTATAAGAAACCCTATGTCAGGACATCATTGCATTCATTCATCATTGCATTATGGAAGCATCATTGATCATCAATTCCAAAAATAAAATTCGAGAAAAATTAAAAATTGAAAAACGAATGATAAGTTTAGTACTCGGGTATCTTGATGTAATAGTTTTTAGTTATAAAAATTCAATTCCTAATGTATAAATAAACTTACTTGTACCTGAAGACAATTTATAGCAATGAAAATTGAGAATTCACTTGAGATTCTATGTATGGTATGGTATGTTATTATTAGAAACAATTAGTGTAAAATCTTCAATACAATAACCTCGACAGCAATATTTTTTTAAGTTTCTATAATAATAGTTTGAGTTGCGAAATATTCATACATTTACTTTTACTAAGGAAGTCCCACCTCTTAAACGTAGTGATTATTTATTTTGGTCAAAGTATAAAGTAATGTCCTCTCTCTATTTTTATTAGATTCAATGAACCCGTTGAAGGATAAGGTAAATAGAAAGATAGATTGATGAAAAAAAAATTGAAGGCATTAATATCATTTTTGCGAATATAGAACTAATTTTTTTTTTAAATTAAAGAAGTTGGTAGTTTGTTTTTATGCAAGGTAGTGGATAGGAGTTATATACTAAAAGTTGGTAGATCTACCGAAAAGTTGGTAGAGTTGGTAACACTGCTGACCCCTTCAGAAAAAATGGGTATGAATGTGTAAGCCCGAGACTGCTATGGATACGAATGAAAGTGGGCTTAAAGAAAGTGTTTGTTCTAGGGGTCTACGCCCCAGGCATAACTAAGCCTACTTATATCCGATAAGGGAAATCACTGCGTATCTATAGCATAGTATAGTGTCCATACCTCGTACGCAGAACGGAACACAACAGTGCACGTAGCACACATTGCTAATTGGCGGCAGATATAGGCAAAAGGTCCTTTTCTGCCTAGGAGCCAGTCTGGTTAGGTATTCCACTTACCTAGCGGACTCCTGGGGCTGGACAGGAAAGGAGATCTACTACCACCTAGTAAAATTAAGTATGTAAGTAGGTTTTGTAGGTAGTAAGGTTTGTTCCCTATCTAAGGGTTTATTGTAACTTTTATTTCTCTAAGGGTTGATTGTTGTGTAGACGGATTTTACAAGTCTTCGTAACACGATGTTTTCTTTAAACACGTGACAAAGCAGCAGTTAAACTAATAATTTTATGATACCCGCGGGCATCGAACTTGGTTTATTCGCTTACTATGATACCTTAAGGATAGCGCTTATCTATTATGGCTTTTTCATTTTAATTTTTTTATATATTTTTTAAAAGTGGCTAGCGAGTAATTATCCACCTGTTGTAAGCGGCTACTGTAGCTCAATGACATCTGCAATCAACTTCAAACAACCAAAATTAAATATTTATGTACTTACGATATATTCTTAATCGAGGATAGTTGTAGATGTCTATAGGCCACAACATCCACTTACCATTAGGTGGACTGTGTGCTTGTATAACAGCCATATTCTAAAAAAAAGTTAGAATATCGAATGTATATTATTTTATAAATGTCAATTTTAACAGTGTATCAGTAGCCAGCGTAATTACAAGTGAGGATTAAGGATTACTTTCGCACATCGTTGTCCTCAATTTTTTGATCTATTATTAGTAGAGCTTCTATAACAGAATTTCTTTAACAAGTTTTTTTTTTTAAATTTGTGTCAGACCAGTGAACTATATTTTCGGAGATTTTATAATAAACTCAGAAAGCTTTTCTTGTTTTAACCAGTCTAAATTTAGAGACCTCTATTGTATTACTTCGTTTCGTACTACAGGCAGTAGCCCGTTTTTTTATTAAAATAAATAAATATTTTCTTCCATACGTACATAATGTCAAAAATAAACAACGACGGTGACACGATACTGAGAAAGTACGCAAATAGACTAATTCTGTTGCTGTTGCTTCATCAGCCATCCATCTAATCCGTCTTATAGCGAAAATTGCTGAATTTAATTGGAAAGCTAGTTAGCAATACTGGATCTTGCAATCAATAGAAATTCCAAAAAATACGATCGAACTTTCAAAATCCTTACTGATAATTTGTAATTTAATTACAGCATTCTGTAACATAAACTGTAAAAATTGACATTGAAATGTAAAAAAAAAATGTTTTTTTTTCGAAACAAAATCTAGTACTTGCCGTTCCAGTGCAAAATCGTTTCTCCTAACTTTAAATAACAATAAGATATCATTAGCAAACAGAACTATCTCAGATGTTTTTTGTATCATACATGGAAGATCATTTATGTAGACCAAATATTTTAAGATTACATTATCAAAACCTTGATCTACTTCATGCAAAGACATTTAAGTAGTAGTAATAGACCAGACATCAGCAACAAAATTGTCACACTTTTGTCCTATAGGATATATTTCGGATTTGTGTCTTTAGTGACATCGTCAAAAGCACAAGACGCATTCGTTTCGTAAATTTAAAAAAATATTTTTTAAGATAATATGCCCGTTTGTACATTAAGGTATTGTAAGTCCCGATATGTAGCTAAAACTGAATGTGATTTCGGTTTAATATTGTAAGTATAATGTATATTTACCCCATAATTTTTAAATGTTATTATTTCTGGTAGATTGTTTTAGAACATTTATCATTATTGTAATAAGCGCCCTCTGTTATCCAGTAACGTCGCCAAATGAGTTAGTGATTGAAAAGGTTTATCGATTGGTGCTATCGATAAAAAATATTATACAGGATGCAAATTTTATCATCTACAATATTTAAGGCCTGTATCAGGGCACACGGTCGTTGGTTTTAACGAGAAACGTCTATGTCAGCCAGTACAACCAGTACAACCATTCAGAAAGATAGCCTTCTTTTTAAAATATTAATATAAATTGCAGATGCATTGCCGGCCTTTTAAAAAGGAATAAGCTCGTTTCTTGAAGGTCCCTAAGTCTTATCGGTCCAAAAAATCGCCGTTGGTAAACGATTCCTAAGAAAACTCCTAATAAATCGCACGGTAGTGGACCGCCAAGCATCCAAATGATGTGGTTGGTAATGTAAGTTTTGTCGCGATGTGTGTTGGTGAAATTTGGTAGCTGGAATTAATCCGAACAATTCCTCAGAGCACTCCCCGTGTTAAATACGAAGGAATAGAAAATGCAAAGAGATGCAACATCTCTACGCAGTGCCATTGAATCGAGCCAATCAAAGAGAACTCGTTCGTCAAAGATTCCAGCCGCTCTGCTCTGCAGTCAAGTGTAAGGAGCTCGCACTGGGGAACCTCG